CCTGTCCTTGCAGAGCTACCCAACGTCCGAATGGGCCTCTGCTCTCGGTTGCTCAGAGAAGATCTTGGTTCTCCCTGTCTGTAGACAGCTCCCACAAGGGCTGGACCAGCATGTAGCAGCCCTTGTGTTACCCCAAAGCCTTTGCTCGGGGAACCAGCGGGTGGTTGGGAGAGAGAATGCTTGGGACATACCCATTTTTACTTTACCAGTGTAGCGATAACACCCACCTTTATGCTGAGAAATCCACTAGTTACCTTGCAAATAAGTCTTGCTTTTGCTTTTGCTCATCAGACAGTTCAGGGTTGTGCTGGGATGTTCAGGGTGTTCAGTAGCCCAACGACTCTTTCTTCCCAAACTTTTTAAACGGCTTGTGTGACTTGCATATTTATAATTTGTACCATTACTATTGATCCTACTAGTGGGTCGTTACAGGCTATTTGCATACTTGAGCTTTTACTATTGGGTATTTTTTTTTAAACCTAAATACACCCATTCTGGCATCTTTTTTTCTTATTACACTTTTTTCTGTTACACATTTTCTTGTGACTGTTCTTGACAACATTTATGCTCGGACAACGCTTGCAGCTGCTTGCTTAAGTCTCCCCCCGCCCCCGACTTGGAGGCTGCTGCAGGTGCCGGACAGAGTCACTGGGCATGTTTACACGTGCATTTACACTGGCTTAAATTTACTGCTCAGTCAGTGGGCATAGGCCGGCATTTAAACGTGCAGGCATTACAGCACATTAACACTGTGCGTGGACTGATTTGGGAATAAAGTTAATCCCAAATCAGCCCACACCCAGTGTTACTGTGAGGTAAAGCATCTACATGTGCATTACTGCACAGTAACTAATTGGTCATAGATTTGATACTCGCATAATGCAGGTATCAAATTTATGCTCAAGCCAGCATAAGTTGCCATATTTACTGCTAGTGCAGGCATGCACATGCAGATGCACGCCTGGACTACGTAGTAATTTTGGTTACTGTGCAGTAAATGTGCATGTATAGATGCGCATAGATATATCCCGGGAAGGTTTTCAAGTACATTTGTATCGAGATTTCTTTAGGCACCTTGCTTTAAGCCCATGTATCCCCTTGCCCCAGGTGCTGCTGGTCTCATTCCCCAGGGTACTGCTCACACTCAGTAGCAGATTTGTGCTTCCAGACATAGTTTCCACCCTGTCAAATGTTCTCTCATGCAGATCCTGCCTCCTCTGACCTCAACGAGTCTTTGCCAGTGTATGGACAGCGGGCTGCTGCAGCAAAGGCCATCGGGTAAGAGACGTCAGAGCCACACACAACAGCAGTGTGGCAGAGCACATTGAGACACCGAGGCAGGCTCTTCTGGGGGGCTAGTGGTGATGTGGCTGCCTGTAGGACTTGATGCCCCAGACGGGAAGGCAATGCTAGGTCTTAGTGGCAGATTTCATAGATTTCATAGACATTAGGGCTGGAAGGGACCTCAGAAGCTCATCGAGTCTAGCTGTAGCACACTCCCAGTTATCCAGGGATGCCCTTTGCAGTGGGAGCAGCTGGAATGGCCAAGGCTTTCCCGGGGCTGGCAGGGAGCGGGGCCACTGCTTGCCCAGCAAGGCAGGAGACCTTGCACTCACTCTGCAGCAGAGATGCCAAGAGGACCCCGATTCAGATGTGTAACAAAGCCGCTGTCTTCTGTGCCGTTGGTGCGTCGGGAAGACTGTCCTTCATATGCATCTGCATATGAATCGTGAACTGTGCCCGACAGTTATGGGTGATCCAGTAGAAGATAGCTCCGAAAGCCCCTCGTTCCTCTTGTCCTGGGGTACGCTGTCATGCTGTGAAGGGCCTGGCTTTGAGTGGAGCCAGACGACACCTCGTCTTCCCCATACATTCACTCACCGCGGCTCTTCTGTTGCAACGCTTGGTCCAGACGTTTCCCGTTGTGGAGGAGCACGTGCAGAAGGCGCTAGGAAAGCATCTGTTCCAGCTCTTTATGGTAAATGCCTATTGCTGCTCCAGAGTGTCTCTGGGACTGGTCCTTTTGCAGGGCCGAGGGGGACGGGGTGGAGGGGTTACATGCACCTTGGGGCTCATGGGCCTGTTTTGGTCTTTCAGAAGCCCGGGAATGAGCAAACCACAGACCCGGACCAGCCCTGCTCAGCCCCCACCCCCCAAACCCACCAGCTCCACTCTACGCCTCCCATGCCCCGTTCCTCCTGCTTCCTTCAGGTTGAATCTCAGAAAATCTTGCAGGATTGGCCCTTCTCCAGACATCTCCCCCAGACTTATGAACTACACAGCCAGGCAGCCTCCCCTGAAAATCACAGGGAAGAGGTGAGA